TGTTCCAGGAGGGACACAATGGCCACATGGCTGCAACCTTATCTGCACCTTAGCCATGTAATCTGTGTACCAACCGTACAGGCTGGGTGAGACATCTCCAATTGGTGCCAAACAGCAGCTCCTGAGCTACGGAGCAAGCGTGGTCCGGATTTAAACCACCTTTGCTCAAATCTTTGCGGCTCTAAAGTCCACGCAGTGCTCAGTGTTTGCACTGTACTATTGTGCAGGATCTCTTTGGGGTGGGGGTTCGGATTGCTTGGCTGCTTTAGCTACTGTGCAGTGTTGTATGTTGTGCTCTTAAAGAGCCGGTTACGTGTGTCTCTTGGCTGCAGGCTGACCCTGTAATACAATGTCCCTCGGTGAGTCTCTGGCAGCCGGGATTGAACATTGGCGTTCACGAGGCTCTACTGCCTGAATTAAAAGACCCACATTGGAGCAGGCTCATAAATGGCCCTGCCACCACGAGGGGGTGATAGAGCGCCCCACCAAGTGGGTGGGGGTTACAAGCGCCTCGTGACTAATGGACATTTATTATTTGCAAAAAACTATATTGAAACTTTCCTTAAGACCCCGCCAGTATTTGCTCCTCTGTGTTGACTGTTGCAGGATTGCAGCTACCAGTCAATCAGTAACAACACCTGGTGATGCCCATGAGTCAGAAGCAACGTGAGGTGTTTGCTGCTTATGGAAGGGAGTTGGAGCAGCCCAGATCGATGGTTGTAGTGGTCCATTTCTCACCACAGGGATGGGCCTAGGAAGAAGACTCATGTTCTTGAACCTTCCCCATTTTACAGAGAGGAAGTGCTTTGCCCAGAGTTGCTGAGTGAGTCAGTGTCAGCTCTAGGAGTAGAACCTAGGCCAAACACTTCCTTCTTGCCCCCTGCCTGGGAGAAGCATGTCTCACACAAGCATGATCAAGTGTGGTATGAGATGATAAAACTTCCCTTACTGAGCGCATGACCCCCAGGGAAACTGCTGCAGTGACAACACACGTCTTCGCTTGTTTCCCATTTCTCTCTCTTTCTCTCTGACAGGGCGTTTTTCTGGCTAGTGTCCCTGCTGCTGGCCTCTTTGATCTGGTTCATTTCAGTGCAGCTCAGCAATCGGGAGGACTCCAGGCTGCAGTATGGCCTCCTGGTCTTTGGGGCCGCGGTGTCGGTGCTGCTGCAGGAGGCGTTTCGATTTGCCTACTTCAAGCTACTCAAGTAAGAGCACCCCTCTAGGAGCAGACTGTTTCCCCCTGTGTGAAATGGGGCCCGTGAGGCTGCCCTCCTGGGTGAGATCTGCTGATGAAAAGCACTAGATAAGAACTAGGCATTATTATTAGAAACCGTGGGTGGCACCTGATCGTCGAACCCACTCCCAAGTGTGTTGCCCCCGTCTCTTGATCAATTAGCTGCTCTTTTTCTCTGCCACTTGCTTGATCAATACCACCTCCCCCTGTGTGCCGCCAGCCCCCCTGCCAGTACATCTCCTGCTTCAAACCCATCGGCCGTTCTCTTCTTTCTCTGCCCCCCAGGAAAGCCGACGAGGGCTTGGCGACGCTCAGTGAGGATGGGCAGTCTCCCATCTCCCTCAAGCAGATGGCCTATGGTGAGTAAGCTGCTGGGCAAGAGCCTGTGCTTCCCCTCCCCCCGCGTAAATGACTGACCCCTCCACGCACCGTTTCGGCCGTGCCCTGCAGCAGGTCTAGGGTGCCCAGATACCACGGTGATGAGGGTGATATAAGAATTGGAACAGAGCAGCCGGGCGCTGCTGACTCTGTGTGGCAATCGCTGGCTGGCAGTCACGCTTCCCTCTGTTAACTTCTGCCACTGGCCAGTAGCCTTGGCACGCACTTAAGATGCATCTTCCTCCCCTCCCTGCCCCAGAACGCATTGGGCACAGCCCTGTGATGCGCTGAATTCTCCAGGCATCTCCGGATGCTAAGTCTGTCTCCTCGCCTCCTGGGAGAGCAGGGGTAACGTGGAAGATGCTGGGGAACTCCCCTTGTCAAAGGAGTCCAAAGCTCATTGTGGTGCTTCGCACAGCCACTGGTAACTTCAGCGCTGTTGGTCAATATCCTCTTCCTCCTCCTAGTATCGGGGCTGTCCTTCGGGATCATCAGTGGGGTCTTCTCGGTCATTAACATCCTGGCGGACTCCATAGGGCCGGGCATCGTAGGGATCCACGGGGATTCGCCTTATTACTTCATCACGTCAGGTAAGGCAGGAGCCCCTGTGTGCTTGGGAATGATGGGGCCGCTCCTGTCCTGATGCCGTTTATTGGGTTGGGCTCGGAGCCCAGGTCAAACGCAGCAGGAGGAACCAGCTTTCCCTCCGGCTGTAGAAGATCAGAGGCACCCAGAACCAGAGGAGACTGTTGGGGCGTGATGCAAGGCTGCCCCGTCCCTTCCTGTCAGCCAAGAGCTAAATATACCACCACAGCAGCATCCATCTTGGGCGGCAGTGCTATCTACTGGTTAGAGCAGGAAACTGGGAGTCTAGAGCGCCACTGTTAATCCTGGCCCCGTTGAAGTAAACGGTACACCTCCTTTTGACTTCGGTGGGGTTTAGTCATGGCTCTGCCACTGATCATTGTGTGACCTTAGGCCCTCACTAAAAATGTGGCTCCCTGCTGGTGGGGCTCTGAATCTTGATGACTAGCAAGTGTCTTGAGAGCCCTGGATGAAAGGGGCTAGAAGAGGGTTATCATTACGTAGCCTGGAGGAACCGCTTGTGGCTACAGCTGTGAATCCTTCTTCCAAATGAGATGTGACACCTAGGCCCTCATTGTTTAGGGTCGCTAATGATCCCCATCAAGACCGGGATGTTAGCCTCAAATGTATCCCCTTTCCCAACTTCAGATTCCACTGGAGAAACGATTGCCACCTCCTCCTATAAAAGCTTATTGTGTGGCATGGCTGCGGGGCTCCACTCCAGAGGTGGCTGCGTTTCAGTAGCCATGCACAACCGGTCTGCAAAATGCTTCGGGATCCTCCACGTGGAAAGGTGTTATAGAAGTGGGGAGACTGTGGTAACATTGCTGTTGTGAAGGTTTGGGGTGCTGACACCGCACTGGTCTGACCCCCTTTTCTCTCGCCCCCTAGCATTCCTGACCATGGCCGTCGTCTTCCTACACACGTTCTGGGGGGTGATCTTCTTTGACGCCTGCGAGAGGCAGCGGTATTGGTCCCTGGTGCTGGTGGTGGCCAGTCACCTCGTCACGTCCGGGTTGGTGAGTTCACGTCCGGGTTGGTGAGTGGGGCTGAAGTCGTGCTGGATAGAGAGAGGTGATCGGATCCGACAGGGATGGCCGGCAGTGTGGGGATGGCTGGCTGGCACTGCCCTGGGCTTTGGGGGGAGGGTGGGAGCCGAGAGGAGTGGGAAATGGGATAGTCCGGGCTGCAGCAACAGTGCTACAGAGTACACTTGTCTTCTGAAATGTCACAAAAGCTCATTCAGGGCTAGTCACTCCCTGTTCTCCCCCTCCCCCTGCGGCAGCTGATCCTGACGTGCTTGTGAGGAGATGGGGCTGGAGGGGGCTTAAGCAGTGTTAATAAAGGACTTAGGGATCCCGAAAGCCCCTTGCAAGGGGCTCTGTATTCATCATGCGGAGCTTAGTGGATAAACTGCTGGGCAGAAGTTGCAGCAGGGATCAGCATCGCTCTGCTCGGGGGAGCGGATGCTTCCCATCTCCCCCGCCCCCAAAGACTTAGATGTGATGGCGTGGAGCAGAGTGCCTGGACCGGGGGCAGTCGCTGGGACCGGGTGCCAGGGCTCTGCAGGCAGACGGAAGGCGGCGGCACTTCTCACCTCGCTCTCCCTCCATCTCTCCTAGACGTTCCTGAATCCCTGGTACCAAGCCAGCCTCATCCCCATTTACATCATCACCATCTCCATGGGCGTCTGGGCCTTCTTCACGGCCGGAAGCTCCTTGCACAACGTCCTGGCCTGCCTCTCCTGTAAGGATCTAGCCGGGGGGGCAATACCACATTCGCTGAAAGTGCTGGATGGTGGCACTAATCCACTCAGGAGACTCCCTTGGCCTAAGGGTGCTGTGGGGGGCAGTGGCACATGGACAGCAGCCGCTCCCAGCTGGCCAGGTGCACACAACGCCCACCTAATGACCCGCTCCAGAACGATTGGCTCGAAATGATGCAAGCTAGGAAGGCCTCTGTAACCCTGATCCTGCTTGGCCTGCAGGGGGAGGGGGAAGCAAGTGGGATGGGATTAGCCAGGGATTTCCACTAGATCCGGGACTACTCCACCCCTGATGTCTGGTGGGGGAGGGCTATTCCCCCGGAGCGCAGGCTCTCTTGTGGTAGAGACTCCCAGCGAGGCGCTGGGGTTGGGATTGCACAGATGCTGCTCCATCACTAACCGTCTAAACGCAGTGATGTGGAAACAGCCCCATGACAGTCCAAGTCATCCCCCAGCCCCACGAGCCAATAGAGAACACGCAGCCGCAGCCCTGGCCCTGCGAGACATTCGCTCTCCGTTGGCTGCTCAGTCCTTGCTCTCGCAGCTGAGACCCCCCAGCAAGGAGACTGGTGTGGGCCACGTAGTGCCGGTGATGTCCACCATGGAGCAACCTGCTAGGGCACAGACTGCGGCTGATCGCAAGCCTCCTGCGGAAGCCGGGTTCGAACCTGTGAGCCAGAGGTAGAAGGGTATAAAACCTTTAAGCCACCCAAGCTACTTCACGTGTTTTCCATTGCTGTCTGGCTCAGCCAGGCCCCCCGCTGTCGGGGACTACCTGAGTTACTGACCTTTGCCCTTCCCTTGCAGGTAAACAGGAGGAAGACAACCGAGTGATGGTGTACTCTGCGCTGCAGGTCCCCGTCGAGGACTGAGCCCCTCCTCAGGCCGGCACCTGCCTGCCAGAGACATCCAGGGAAAACCAATACCCCAAGTGCCCTGTTCTCTGCAGCTGGGAGCAGCCTGGAACATCCCCTCCCCATGGCAGGAGCTGGGGCATGGGACTCGGAGCCTGTCAGAGCAGCTCACCCTGCTCATGGGGCTGGGCCGCTGCGCTGGTGGAGGTGTGGCTGGGATTGCGAGGCTGAGTCCTGTGGGGCCCTGGCGGTCTCTGTGCTGTGGATTCAGGGGCCTGGGGCACCGCCGGACTTTTTCCCTCCTGTCAGCTGCAAAGGACTGAAGCTCTGACCGGGCCTCTCGGACTCGAACCTGCCCAGAATCGGGCTCATGGCGGGTCTTGCAAACTCTGCCACCCCCTCCCTGTACGAACGCGCTGCCCGCTTCGGAGGCGAATTGTCCCGCGGCTCCTCTGTCTGACTGGGGCTGCAGCAGAGGGGCTGGAAAGTCCTGTCCGGTAGCACTGACACCCGTCGCTTTTGAAATGGTCCTTTATTGGCATCTATTTCTCTGGATCTCTGGGTAGGGTCTGGGTTAGCGGAGCAGCGAGCCCATCTGGCTGCCCACCCCCTGCCCTGGGGCCACGAAGGGCCCTCTGAGCTGTGCCCCAGGGTTTGTGGTAGTGAGGACACCTGTGGCTTTTCTGTGTTTGCCGCAGCGCCAGTGTGACCGGCTCAGCTGGGAACTCGCCCGCCGGCAAAGTTTGGCCTGTTTTGGGGAAGGCTCAGCTGGAACGGAACTCTAAAAGGATGGGGTGCGCTCCCCCCCTGAGGTGCAACCAACCCTGCTAACTTCCGTCCAGTGACAGCTGGGTGAGGGCGCTCCCTGCGGGGTTAGTGAGCCCAAGATTCCCGGGTGATGGTCTAGAAACTCTGCAGCATTCTGTCCTTGGGCTCCTCCCCAGCAACGCACGCATGTGTCTCAGCCTGAGAGACCTGCCCCATTGCAGCGTAGCTTGGCAAGGGGGCTGAGTGTTAACGTGGCTGCCCCCACGAGAGAGCTGTGCTCCTAGCTACGCGTGGGAAGCATCTGGGAAAAAGGTAGGCATGCATCCTATGTCGCTCCCAGGCACCCCCTACTGGGAGGTCATGCAGCAGCCACGGGGGTGGGGGGGAGCGTGCAAGTCATGCCCCAGAATGGAGGGGAAGGATCTGATTTAGGGGGCGCTGCTGCAGAACGGCTTGCAGTATTGCTGGCTCTGCAAGGGCTAATCTGCTGTAGCAGACACTGCCCAGCTATTGGCAATACCACGCGGCAGCTCGTCTCCAGAGAACCAGATGCTTCTGGTGCTGTGGAAGAGGGCCGAACGGTGCTGCTTTGTTCAGGGGCTAAAAGGGTTGCCTCGCAAACCTCACCCCGGAGACTCCCTGAGGGTGGAGAGCAGTGACAGGCCGGTCGCTGTCTGCTACAAGAAGTTGAAAATCTCAGTGTGTGTTTGTTTTTTCCCCTAAGTTTGGGAGAAGATTCACTACATGTCTGTAAAATCGGGATTTTTAAAAATATTTTTTTGATTCAGAGTAAAATCCTTTTAATAGAGACGCTGTGATGACTAATAAAGCCTTCTTTTGTAATGGGGCGGGAGTGAGACCTGGTGTTTCCTTCTGGCCACGTCTGGGGTAAATCCACTTATTTTAGGGGGGCGGGGGGAGATTTTATCCCTCCCTAGGAAATCTCCACTAAGGGCCACCCACTGTCATAGCAGTTGGGATCAGGGCCCTGCACAGCCACTGTGTGAGATATAGGGTGTCTCGATATTTAGGCGTTTGTCCCAATACTTCGCGGCACTCCGCTTTTTTTTTTTTTTGGCTCCACCGGCGACCCCCCCCATGTGTCCCGATATTTTCTTCCTCTCGTTTGGTCACCCTAGTGAGATAGGCCCTGCCCTGAAGAGTTCCCAGTCTAAATAAACTGGGGGAGGAGAGGAAACTGAGGCACAGAGTTGAAGTGACTTGCCCAAGATCATGTGGCAGGTCGGTGGCAGAGTTGGGAATAGAACCCAACTCTCTTGCATCCCTGTCTAGTGCCCTACCCCCTGAGCCATGCTGCACATGCTGAGAGACCCCTTGCGACACGCTCGGCCGAGCCTCGGAGCGTTGCGAAAACGCACTTTCATCTCAGATTGTGAAATCTCTCCCATCAGCCTGGCTACGTCCTCAGTGCAGTGTCTTGGAACCGGGCTACTTGTGATTCTTACCAAGTTCCTTCTCTCACCTCTTCCAGCTAAGCCTTACGTGCTAAACTCCTTAACCCTTGCACCATCCCTGGGCAGAAAATATTACTCCAAATGTAGGTGCTGCTAAGTGGGCAGCCCAGTTGGCGATAGGAAAGGAGTAGAACTCTCTCTTTAACTGGCTTTCTGTGGCACAGACTTGCTCTTTATTCTCTCTTCCTGCTTTCCCAGCTTCCTGTGGTGCAGAACTTACTCATCAAATAGCCGAGAAGCAGGGTTTGGTAGTGCCCAGCCACCAGCAGGGGGCGCACGGGGCTTTGGCAAGTTCACGCCAGTCCTACAATGCAGGAGACAGCAGGCTGTGGTTTGTCTATGCAGCAATGTTTCTGCCATGGTGACTGGGTTTTGGGCATCTGCCTCTAAGTGCGTTCTGGGTTGTTGGCAGCTGTTAGCAAGAACTAATGGGTGACGTTTCCGTGCCTCGGTTTCCCCGTCACAGAAATAGAGACTCATCACACTGGTAGGGTCGGTGGGGGTTCAGATCTGGGGACTGAGGGTGCTAGAAAAACAGCAAGGCAATGAATGAGAGGGCTCGTCTGCAGTGTGTTCATGAAACCAGGTGCGGCGTAAATTCTAGTGCGCACCAGCTTGTCCGGTGTGGACCCTGCTGGCATGCACTAAACATTCCCTAGAACGCGCTAATGTAGCCCCCTTTCAAACAGTCCTACCTTAACATGCACTAGGGAACTTTTAGTGCACGGCAGCCCGGCCCAAATGGCCCGGTTTAGGGTGTGAAATGCTGGTGTACGTTGGAATTTACACCCCAGCTGGAGTGGGTTAATGCACCATATAGACAAGTCCAGAGAGATGCAAAGCAGTCCTAGCTGGAGCTGCGGGGGGCTGCAAGTAACGTTTCACAAAGGAGTTTTGAGATTTCTAAATCTGGCTTTGTGCCACGTTGGAACAAAAACTGAAAACTTCCAAATTCTCCACACAGGAAAACTGGGAACTTCGGTGCTCAAAACCTCTTGATTTTGACTTCTTGATTTTGTGTTGGGTTAGAGAATATAAGGCAACATTTTAAAAAAACTATGGCAAGTTGTTTCCCAAAACAAAATTCAACGTTTTGTTCCAAAAATGTCACCCTGGGCCACTTCACCACCGTTGGTCCTACTTGCTTTGTCTGAAACACAATTCTGGCAGAATGGCCGGAGTTTGCAAAGGGTTCAGGTTTTGATAGAATTGCATCCCCCCCTGCAGGATGGTTTGTCAAAGCTTCTCCAACTAGCTTTATGTTTAACCCTGTTTCCCTGGCTTAGCTGGGTCCTAGCAGCTTAGCGAGTGAGAAATCGGGACTGGGGGTTCTAGGGTGAGCTCTGTAGGTCTGCACCCCTGACAGCTCAGCTGTACCCAAAAACCTCCCTCCCCAGGGCTGTGGGGTGAGTCCAGGCTGCATCTGAAGGTCCCAGAGTGAACAAAAGCCCCAACTCTATTTTGTTTTAGCTTTAGAGCCGCTGTCTCCCCAGCCTCCTTCCTAATACTCTGGATTTCTAAGGCACCTTTCATGTGAATCTCTATCTCCCCAGCCTGTGTGGGAAGAGTGATCCTTCTCTTTAACAGATGGGGAAACTGAGGGACAGAGAAGCAAAGAGCCTTGCCTTAAAACCCCACAGTAAGTCAGTGACAGAGGAGGGAAGAGAACCCAGGAGTCCTGGCTTCCGGTCACTCCTACCTTAAGAGTCCGGGCTCCTGTTTCTCCCACCATCACTCTCAATCCTGGCAACCTATTTGGTTCAAAACCAGCTGGGGCGCTGGGGCCAGCTCCACCATCCTCAATTATTATTAGTAGCAGCAGAGATGGCGCAGTGGGACTGTCTATGCTGGGAATTTTAAATGCTAGGACAAGACGCAGCCCAAAACACAGGCCTGTGTTAAGCGCCGTGCTGGTGCAGGGATGGGCATTTGATTTCGATCTTGCTGGCCACCAGGGGGTGCTCTGGCCTCTGAAATTGGTTTGCCAGGAAGAGGAGGAGGGTGGCAAATTGGGCCTGTGGGGGCCTGGCGAGAGCCCCTGGTTGCTACCTGGCTGGTGTTTCTGTTGGTTTGTTGATTGCAATGTGCCTTTTTTTGTCATTCACTTGTAGGCTGTGCGACCACCCAGCGATCTTCCCTCTCCCCCTGCTGGGCCAAGCCCCACTGCATCGCTTCGGTCAGTGGCAGGCTCTGAGCTGCTGCAGTTTTATCTAGTGATGCCAGGCTGGGACGAAAGGCGTGTGTGGGCTGCGGGTGGGGGGTTCTGCCACTGGGGGACTGGCCCTTTAAGGGGAGATGGATCCAGCCCCACCTCCTCCCCCTGTGCACAAAATGAGCACCCTGCCAGGTGGGTGGTGAGGCTAGCTCAGGCTGTGGGGAGGTAAAACAGAAGCCTGGGAGGAAAGAAGGGAAATTGCAGGTAGGAAGCCCTGGGAATTGCTAGAGAGCAGGTGGAGAAGACGCTGGACATGGTGCACCTCTCCCTAGCTGCCAGGCAAGGGGTGGGTGGGGTGGAAGACAGCTAAGAAGGCTGGCGTGTGGAGAGCAGCAGGAGGCAGGACTGAAAGCCCTGAGTTTGGGCCAGCTGAGAAGGCGGGGGGGAGGGTGTGTCATTAATGACCCCAGGCCCTAAGAACTGTTCCTCAATTCATGAAAGCTCCTGGGGGGAG